GTAACCACTTGTCCTGGAGGGGATCCAGAGCCTGTCCTGCAGGCGCAAAGAAGGGAACAACCCAGGATGGGGCACCAGCCCATCGTAGGGCACACACTCACACACCAGTCTCACACACACCAGTCACTCACACACCAGTCTCTCACACACCAATAACTCACACACCAGTCACTCACACACCAGTCTCACACACACCAGTCACTCACACACCAGTCTCTCACACACCAGTCTCTCACACACCAGTCACTCACACACCAGTCTCACATACACCAGTCTCTCACACACCAGTCACTCACACACCAGTCTCTCACACACCAATCACTCACACACCAGTCACTCACACACCAGTCTCTCACACACCAATCACTCACACACCAGTCACTCACACACCAGTCACTCACACACCAGTCTCTCACACACCAATTACTCACACACCAGTCTCTCACACACCAATCATACCAGTCACTCACACACCAGTGTCTGACACACCAGTCACTCACACACCAGTCACACCAGTCACTCACACACCAGTCTCTCACACACCAATCACTCACACACCAGTCACTCACACACCAGTCACACCAGTCACTCACACACCAGTCACTCACACACCAGTCTCTCACACACCAATCACTCACACACCAGTCACTCACACACCAATTACTCACACACCAATCTCTCACACACCAGTCTCTCGCACACCAGTCTCTCACACACCAATCACTCACACACCAGTCACTCACACACCAGTCACTCACACACCAATCTCTCACACACCAATCACTCACACACCAATCACACCAGTCACTCACACACCAGTCACTCACACACCAGTCACACCAGTCACTCACACACCAGTCACTCACACACCAGTCACTCACACACCAATCACTCACACACCAGTCACTCACACACCAATCACTCACACACCAGTCACTCACACACCAGTCTCTCACACACCAGTCACTCACACACCAATCACACCAGTCACTCACACACCAGTGTCTCACACACCAGTCACTCACACACCAGTCACACCAGTCACTCACACACCAGTCACACCAGTCTCTCACACACCAGTCACTCACACACCAGTCACTCACACACCAGTCTCTCACACACCAGACACACCAGTCACTCACACACCAGTCACACCAGTCTCTCACACACCAGTCTCTCACACACCAATCACTCACACACCAGTCACTCACACACCAACCCCGCGACAACACAGGGAGAACATGCAAACTCCACACGCAGACCCACATTGGAGACTCGAACCTGAACCCTGAGGTGTGAGGCAGCAGTGCTAACCACAGTACTGCCCCCAGCTCCCCCCTTTACATTACAAGTATCTATTTTTTTTAAAAAACATTTTTCTTCCAGAAGTGAAATAACTAGGCATTTGAAAATAATATATTCCAGCACTTGGTTCACGTCACCACATCATTAACTGCAAAAGAGCAGTAGGATTGTCCAGCAATCCGACATAGTCCCAGTACAGATTAGTAATATAACTAATGTACAATAAAACCCTTTTACACAGTTAAATTATACTTTATTATTGAAGTGGAAAAACATACTTCATTCATTAGTGCTAACAACCTTCTGGTGTTGGCCAAGGCTGTAAATGATCCTGGAGCAGCTGGCGTGCCCTGCTCTCTGACAAACAAATGCAAGCCAAGGCGTGGCAGCTTTCACATGGCACTGTGACTCTGTCAGTAAGTCTAACTGTTTACATTTTCATAATTAACTTTGATTTAAAATAACTACAGATTATCATATGCATCAGGGCTTGGCAACCCTGATCCTGCAGGTTTTCCATCCTACCGGGTCTCTGATGAACCACGTCTGATCTCAGGCAGATAGTAACTCATCAGGTTGGATAGAGAACCTGCTGGATACCGGCACTCCAGGATCAGGGTTCCTACCCCTGATATATTTCTTTTAGTGAAATAGCAATAGAAGCTACCAATCAGGATACAAAGGCCCACAAGTGACCTGCAATGTTTCAGAATGATCTGGTCTCCTGTCTTGAAAATGAATGGCTTTCTGATTGCTGGAGGAAACTTTTCTGCTATTATTGGCTTTTAGGAAATAAGATTTGTGAAACTGCTGTAAATTGTCTTTCTCCCTTATATTTCATGCAGTTAGGCTAACTTGTGTCTCTAAATTGCACATGTTGTGAATGAGGTATGTGATGGACAGACCTGGGGGGGGGGGCACCCTAGCCTTGTGCTCTATGCTATCTGGATAAGTGGCTAGAAAATTGATTTTTTTTTAATCTAAACTGAATCTCTTTTAAGGCATGTTTCTATTTAAATAGCTGGCAAATGCCTGCTGGCTATTGACATCAAGTGAAAATAAACTAAATCAATGATGTAAATTGAGGTTCTTTAAATAAATTTAACGCACCACCTTGACTGAACTGATGTAATAAATGAGATTGTTTCATTATAAATACATCTCCCGTTATGTTCATCTGGTCCTGTGACTGTCCCTCTGCCAAGGTTTGGATGCAGCTGTCTTGCGGTTCCCATAGCAACACAGAAAAAACACAGTGAGGTCCAAAGCTGAGCGAGATCGTCCAGCGCAGTGAGACTGAGGCCCCGGTGCTGGCACAGGCTGTCCTGTGTGGGCTCTGGCCTGGACGTGGCGCAGCTCTCCACAGACACAGCAGGGAGGGAGAGCACAGCGGACCTCAAGGTGCTCAGCACAGCTATCACAGGAACTGAAAGCTATCGCCTCGTCCACTTGTTTTCAACAGTTATCCAGTTATGCCCGGTGATGGACTGGCGTCACATCCAGTGTGTTTCCCTGCCGTCTGCCCTGTGCTGCTTTGGGGGGGGGGGGGGGGCACCAGGTACACTGTGACCTTTTGCTGGATAATCACCACTGAAGATGGATGAATGGATTTGCCCGATGTCACTGGATTGTGGAAGGATACAAGAGTACCTGGGGAAACACATGAAAAAATAACTCCCACAGCCCTGGAGGCGAGGTGACATTACCCACTGACTCAGACTCCATGATGGAAAAAGCAGAATAACCACAACAATATCTCACTTACCTAATGCATTTGTACTGTGACATTTTCCCTCCGATTTCACTCATATTCAATTCTCTACCAGACCGTCCGCAGCAGCCCCACATCTGCCAGGAAAGCACTGACACGCAGTTGCCATTTGCCTCTCTGGCAATCCACTTTCTCATTCATAATGCAAATCACATGGTGTCTTGCGGGGTAGCTTAAGTGCCAAGCAGTGACACAACACCCAGCACTGGCAAACGGCAACCCTGGCTTGACTAACAGACCTGAGTAGTAATTACCGCGGCTAGCCAAGTCTCTCTGGTCAGTGTGCGCCCTCTGGAAAGATTTATGTTTTTATACGGATGCATTAAACGTCAAAAAATTTCCGCATGCGTTACGGCTGAAATACTGAACCATTGTTCAAGGGTGGAACAGAAACCCACAAAGCTCCAGTCATGTGGTGATGTACTGGTTCTGTTGGATGGCGCTGAGGCCTTGCCCTGTTGTCATGGCGCCCCTGGGGTTGCTATGCGCTCTCAGTAAAGCGAAGCTGCATCTGAGGAAAGCGGGCAGGCGGTCAGACGGCTCAGTCGGAGAGAGAGGGCCCCCGGCTCACAGGGCCACCACTTAAAATCACACCTCTGCCAGCCCCTCATTCCCCCCCCCCCCACTGGTTCCCATTCCATCTATAACACTAGCTAGCTTGTTTATTGAGAAGGCATTCCTTTCTCACTGTTCTCCTCCAGTAAACAGCATAATGTAAAACATAGACTGCATGCTTCTGATCTGTATTTAAATGTTTTTAATGAATTATTTACAATGAGGTCACTTTTCCAACCAGGCAAAGCATTTTCACCCCCCCCATACCCCACTGAGACACAGCAGGCTGGGAAATGGCCCAGACGCCGTGATCAACCCTTTCTTCAGTCTTTTTTTTATGGCTATTTTCTTCAAAGGCAGGCAAAGCGTTCCTGCAATGTCTTCTTCCATGTGGCGCCTCAGTGCATTTCAGGAGCCAAGTATCAGACCCTGACATCCGCTGTCTGTGCATTTCCTGATAATGGGCATCTGAAAGGGTTCCAGGGCATGTTTTATCAGATGTGCCTGATGTGTCAGTATTTCGCAAGGATTCGGCTTAGAAGGCATCGTTTTAAGGGGTTAGTGGTGAGATGCGAAGCTATTAAAGTGACCTGTAAAATTTAGTTTTCCGTTCATCAGCTGTGAAGGGTTTTTATAATACTGGAAGGACTGTTTTCACCTTCAAAATATTTTTCTTTGAAACTTCTTTGAATGATGCAGGGTTTAATCAGATGCATGGAGATTCCAGTTTGAATTGTATCATCACGACACACCTTCTCAAATATTCTACACTTTAAATCTATCAAATTGTTTCAATGAGAATATCACATCCATCCATCCATCTTCCAAATGCTTATCTAGTAGAACTGGGTGACAGAGGGCAGCGGACACCCTGGATGGGATCACCTTTTCTCAAAGAGCATATCAATTCTTTCAATAAAGAATATTGTGGATCGAGGCTTTCAGTAATGAAGTCACCATGTGCAGATGTTCCTGTGAATTGTTTTAATCAACGGGTCACAGGTTAAATAAATTACTATAGTGATTTATGTTTGTCTCAATAAATATATCAAAAAGTATATTCTATTTTTTCTGCTATGCTCATATTTACTGCCAAGACCATCTGTTCCATGTTCAATGCTTCTTTCAAGGTGATCTTACCATCCAAAGACAGAGAAAGATCAGAGACTCTCCCCTTATGATGGCACAAGCCACCTGGCATCTGTTATGCCATTTGGTGCATAAAAATTGTAAGCAGTGAGAACCTGTAAGCATGATTCAGTAAGAAAGATACATGGGGATTAAGGTACTTTTTATAGCATAAGGGAAATTCAATGTACCGTATCACCTCCAAAAATACAATAAAACAATTAAACAAAGACAACAGACAGAGAATGAAAGTCGTATTTATTTTGTTGAATTTCCAACACAATGCACTATGTAGAAATACAGTCATTTGGACTCTTTTTAAATAGGGTGGGGCCATCATGATTGTATGCATTAGAGGTTTAAGTTTAAATCTTTTAAGGGTTTTTGTGACCCAAAGCACTGTGCTCAGTATGTATGGCCATAATCCACTCATCCTTTCACACTGTACAAATGGGGTAGCTGTTTTTAATGCTAAGTGCAAACTTCCTATGGTGCAAATTGACACCATCATGCTCTGCTTTGGTTCCTACCATCCTGTTATCCAGCGTTTTACAATCTAGTTTTGTTTTCAACCGCAGAAGCTTATTCAGTGCACCACAACTACAACTGAACACTGCAAGTGCAACAGCACGCAAGACTACATGCAAATGCTGTCACACTGGTGTTCTGGCATGCAAGTGATTTCTACTGCACAGTACAAGAATAAAACCAAGCAGTGCTACAGGGGTTCTGTTTCACAGTAACAGAGAATCAGATATCATTAGTGAACTCAGAAACAACCACTACTTACTATTAAGACCATGTGGAGAAGTATCTTTCTGCTAACAGCTATTTACAGTGCTGTGATGTTGCGTCAGCGAAAGAACGGAACTGAAGAAAGCAACAGAATGAACAGCTAAAACAAGAGCAAATGAAAAGCCCGTCGCCAAGCCAACAGAGCATCCAACAAACCCACTGGGTCAGGCCCACCCTCAAGGTCGTCCCGGGGTGCAGTGACCCTGCTCAGTCAGGGTCCCCCCTTCAGTCTTCAGCATCCTAACATTTATGTTTTTAATGTAATATTTTAATTCATGCATGATTTGTGTGACTGCTAATATTAATTTATCACAGTGATATGTTTTTTTTTATAAGTTAAGAGAGATTTATAACACCCAGTTTATCACATTTTATCACTCTAATGTGACAAAAAAAAATCAGGGAAGACTCGTAAGTGTAGATTTTTACTACAATAAAACACATGGAATTTGCATAATTGGCATGACTTTTCCCTCATAAATCCATTTAGCTTAACATACTTAGAGCTTGACTCTGACTTCATGAGTGCTCGACACACTCTGCTTCTGCAGGACCTCGTTACCTTAAAGAGAAAAACAGTTTGATAAAGAAGCAATAACGTATCTAATTCTTTTATAATTTTGTTATACTTTCATAATAACGGTATCTAATAAACAAAACCACTCCAGTATACACTCAATCACAGAAAGCACATCCCACACTGACAATAACTTTCACTACTCCTACTAATACAGCCCTAAATACTGTCAATAAAACCTTTCTTTATCATTTCAGAAAACATCTCTCTATCAGACAATGGTTAAAACTACTGAAAAGACACATATAACAGGAAAGACTCTCAACCTCAATAAATGACCACAAACAATAATTTCTTGATATATTACTATAAGGCCCAAATCCTTAACATTTATAAAAATGATAAAAAATACTACATTGTTTCACATGCAAACACACACACATCATTCCCTACCCACATATACATGGAAATGTGAATATATATGTAGTATTGTTTGTCAATTTGATGTGTTGTGTTGTGCCATCAGATGTAGTTGTTGAACTGTTTTATGTAACCCTGTCAGAATGCATTTTGGTATATACAGTATTTAATAAGGAAAAAAATACAGGAAACAAATGTGAGGTCAGGATGGATCACGAGGATGGATCACCAGTCATTCAAAGTAGACACCAAATATGAATGTTCATGCACTGGCATTTAAATTTTCTTTTGTTTATATTTCTAAAACACTATTAATGTAACCATTATCTCATTCTAAACGTATTGGGAAAAAATGACAATTCAACTGCATTTTCAAGCTTTAGTAAAACAATTTGTAAATTGGTTAAAAACATAGTTGTTCAAGTAATCTTAGAAGGAACCATTAGCAGGCCAGGAAAGTTATTAAAAGCTTTCAGAAGCTCAGGAAACAAGGATCGGTGCAACAAAATTGGTGCAATTAATTTCAGCAGACCTCATCCGGAAAACGGAACGTGCCGGGTGCACTGGGCTGGGGTCTGGGTGGTAAGTTTTTGCTACAGATAGATCAAGTACTCAGAGGTTTTTTTGAAACAGGAAGACCTTTGAGATCAGAATTTCAGAACATTCTATATTTATGGCTTCATGGCCACGGGGCCACACCACTGATATCAGTTTGTGTTAACAGAAGTTCATGGAGCACTTTAATGGGGTTTTATTTAAGCCACAACAGCTCGAGAATGCCCCGATTATATTTCCTCCCTTATTATTGCCTAACAGTTGGTTTTTTTGTGGGATTTCACATAATCCTTAGGTTCTTATTTACTCACACGTCCATGTTACTGAAGGAAGTAATTGTTGTATAATCACCTCTCTCTCTACGCTGGAGAGTTCAAACTCTGGCCACATCATGCTGAGGCTTGATTAGACTGACACATGAGAGGGAGCTACAGTTCTAGTCCATTAACACTAATGTGCATCAGTGGATGCAGGCATTCCTGGTGAAATGCACGAGAAAGATAAGCACCACAGAATGCAAGCCAAGAGCTAACTTAGAGTATCCGATCCAGCATAAGCTGACCAAGAGTACCCAGACTAATAAGAGCTGACCTATAGCTCCTAAACAATAATAGCTGACCTAGCGTATATAATCCAACAAGATATTACCTTGAATATCCAGACCAACTAGAGCTGAACTAGAGTATCCAGACTAAAAAGAGCTAGCCTAGAGTACCTAGACCAACAACAACTGATTAGAGTATCCAATTCAATAGAGTATCCAATTGTAAGCATTTTAAAGCTTTTTTTAATGCTGATCCACGATGAAATTTCCCAGCCCCAATCTTAGAATTAACCTATATAAATGGGTCTTGGGTCTGCAAATGTTTACATGCAAGACTAGTGAACACTCAACCAATCCAAGAAGCCAAACCACAGATGCTTAATTTCAATTTCACATCCAATCAGATTTGTGCCATAGACATTGATAGGCATACATTACAAAGTATCCTCCATGCTTGATCACAGCGTTAATTTAAAACCTATAATTGATATAGGGTCATGACTTATCTCGCATGGCAAAAATTGGGTCACTTTGCAAAAAAGGTTGAGAACCACTGACCTAGAGTATCCTATATAACAAGAGATGAACTAGAGTATCCAATCCAACAAGAGATGACCTAGAGCAGGGGTAGCCAATCTTACCCGCAAAGGGCCAGTGTGCATGCAGGTTTTTGGGATAACCTGTAGGTCAGATGTTCAAACCCAGGTGTGAGGACTCTTCAGCCAATCAGTCCTCTAATTAGTAATCTAATTAGGGAGTTGCAGCGAAAACCCGCATACACACCGGCCCTTTGCGGATAAGATTGGCTACCCTTGACCTAGAGTATCCAGTCCAACAAGAGATGACCTACAGCAGTGGTCACCAACCCTGCTCCTGGAGACCCTGCAGAGCTTAGATGCAACCCTGATTTAACACACTTGATAAAGATAAATATTGGAGATTATTGGAGATAATTGGACTTGATTATAGTATTTAGCGCAGTCCACTTGTGATCAGATCACCCAGGACGCATGTTAATACGAGGTGTCCTGTTAATGACAGGGCCATAGAGTATCCAGAACATTAGCAAATGACCTAAAACAACCTCTAATGAATAACTGTGTCTTCAAGCTCATCACAATTTTTGGAATGAGATTTGGGCTTCAAGTTTTCAAGATCTTATTGATTTTATTATTCTTAATTCCTTCAGACTAGTAGAAATGTAAGCTCTGCAAACTGCTCTGCTAAATACCTAAAATAAATCACATTTACTAATCCTAAACAGTGGATTCTGTAGAATCTTGGATGTAGTAGAATGTGAAAAGCTTCTGTATTATTGGATAAAATATTTCGAATGCAGGTGGATTCCAAAACTCTTACAAGCCGTATCCCACACCTCTGTCAAGGACATCCAGATGGAACGGGAACATCAGGGGTAGCATCTTCAGTCCATGAAGCTGCGACTCCAGCGTGGTCCCACTGTCTCTCAAACTTTGGAGTTCCTGCTGCAGGGCGCCCTTTTGCACCTGGTGGCAGTAAACGGTAGTGAGAGAGTGAGGGTCTTTCTAACGCCCTGCACGCACTTGCCGGAAACGTAAATGTTAGTGGCCGAGCAACAGGAAGGAAAGAGTTACCGGCTGTGTCGCAATTCTGTCACAGCTTGGCCCTGTCATCACACACTCACGTGACCAAACGTTTGCTCCTTAAGTAGTGCTCCAATGCTTTAGGAAAGAACTAAGGAAAGCTATCCAGGAATATAATCCTTCTTGTTAATTAGAAAAAGCAGGAATTATGCTCACAAGTACCGATTAAATATTCAAGAGTAAGCTAACTCGTACCATCAACATAAACATGATTCATTCAGCACATCAACAGCTGAAAAGTCACTTTGGCATCATTCACTGAGATATTAAACTGTAATTTTAGGATGATACAAAACATGGGGAGCCAAAATATTAAAGCCGAAGCATGCAATTTGATTATACAGTATTACTAGTTTTGCCGAATCCTCCCAAACTTCATTTTTAGGCCCTCTGAGAGAGGCCCACATTCCCATCGGCCTGTGAACGTTCTTTCTGTGAGAATCTGACGACGTTCGACGTTTGAATGGGGTGTTAGGGGACGCTCTGCCATGGCACTCAGAACCCGGATGTTCCCGGGCACGGCTGTAACCCGGCAACAGGGCCACTCTCATTGTGTCGCCCTACTTTTCCGTTAATGAGTTCCACCGACAGCCAGCATAGAAATCTTTTTGAAAGGAACCAAATGTGATAATGTAATAATGTAAGTGAAGAGAAGAAGCATTTAAACAAAATACAGAAAACTGGAAATGAGTAGCACTAGAGAGTGATAGAGGAAGCCATGAATGCACAGATATCAATCAATCAATCAAAAGTGCTTATTCAGTGTAGGATCACAGAGAGCCTGTAGCATGTCAGTCCATTATAGGACAATATTTGGAAAGAGCAATTCACCTGTGTTCCTCTGGCATGGTTTAGGAGCATAAAAACTGCACACTTACAGCTGCAGGGCAGGAAATGAAACAACGACCTGGATGTATGAGCCACTGTGCCATCTTTTACACCAGTAAGGCGATGCCCCCATTTAACCTGAGAGGGCATTTTGTTTAGACTAGTACATTTACTTTGAACAGCTTAAGCTGTCACTGCGTTGTCTGCCACACACTGTAAAGTACATGTAATGCCTCTCTTATCCCCTCTTTCTTCACTGTGTATATACACTTACTCTTTGCTTAGCCATACCGAGACGCTGCTAAGGTGCTACACTGATGGTGGTGGAGGATGAAGAGCAGCAGGGGTTCAGTGTGATGGTGACAATCGGGAGTTAAGAAAGCCTCCCTGAAACACTGCACTGAAGTATGAAGCATCAGGAGGCCAGAGTTATTCCTGACCTCCGTCGTGGTGGTAAATCATGACTACTGAAGCATCCGTACCTCCAGCTCCTGGAGCTCACTGTTCAGATGTTCCTGCTGCTTCTTGGCTTGGTCCAAACTGGCCGTCAGCTCAAGCAGCTCCAGCTCCCTCACTGCAGACATGGGGGCCAGAAGGGGGTGAATCGGGAAAAGGATGTCATGACAGAAGCATGCTTTGCTGTGACTTGTGGTTCTGGGTACTCCTGAGGTTGCCAAGGGAGTCATCTGAGGCACCGAGTTGCCGCATGGCCAGTAGCCACCAGAACCAATCCTCTATCCTGTTTCTGTGACAGATTACCTTTGAGGATCACAAGCCGAAGAACACTTCTCATTCATACTGTAACCATACGCCTATTTCTGTCAACCAAAGCATAGTGTCTGTACACATCAGAGACATAATTAGAGCTGCTAATTAGAAAGTGATTTAAAAAAACTCAGCTACAGATCCAAATAAGACTACTTTTTACTCAACGGGAATACTTTTCAATATGTAAATGGCCATAAAGGTCCCTGGCGTTGTGAGCTACAGACTCCAGCTAACCACCAAGGGTCTGCTTGACTAGAACATTCCACAGGAAGCTCATAGATAATGTTCAAGCTTAAGGCCTGGATGGTCAATATGTGACATCTAGACAAAGTCTGCTAAACGCAACATCAGTGCAACATTTGAGCAAGACCCTTGTTGTTCATTATCCGCTGCCAGTTTGCTAAACAGATGCCGTATTTTTTTTTTTTTTTATAAAAAAAAGCTGCTTGTATTATACGACCTAAACTTTTATTAATCCATAAAGCTCAATATTTACAGCAGCAATTCAGTTCGAGCTTTCTCAGTGGGACAACTGGATTTGGACTTGCTTATGAAGCATTTATATGCTTCCTCAAAAGGAAAATTCTAGAAGTATTCCCATTAAAATACAATATCCACACATAAACTGGACTGTTTAGGGGATATATTTACCGGTTATACTTGGCCTTGTGTAAACAATGCCCTAGAATTTGCTTAGTGTATGAATGTTCCTTTATATTAGGTGGTACAGGGTGAGGGACACAAACAGGAATCATTAGCGACATGTATACTTCTCTTATTGATTGTTACCATGAAAATGATGCATGTGCATAACTGATTTGGGTTTTACTTGGCTTTGGTGGAAGTCTCTTGTTACTGCTTTACTGTAACCGAGTAACCTGCTAGTGGTTAACCACCAGTGCATTCTGGGATTGTGTTCAGGGTCTACTGAGGATGGGAACACGTACAGTTTATCTGTCGCAGGAGAAGCTCTTCCAGCACACTTAGTTCAACGGAAGACAGACTGCAGAGGTGAGCCTGCCCCATCTCCTCCTCTTCGTCCTCATCCTGCTCTTCTTCAAGCTCCGCCGTGGGCTGTGAAGCCTTGTGCTGGCCAGCCGTCTCTTTCTCAAACTCCTCTGGGGACGAGGGCCAGGTGAACACAGACAGTTGTCACTAGTGGGCTCTCAGGAACCACGAAGCTGTATGAAGACAACTCGGCTGAGCAGTGGGCATTGGGGAATAGGTCTGTCTGGCCAGCGTCTACCTCCCAGGATCCTGTGAGTCACTGCAGGCTGTTGCCATGGTTTCACTGCAAACCCCGCCTACACATTTGGCTACCAGAAATCACATCTCAGCCTGCAGCATAAACATGTTGCATCCCATGCCTTCAGAGAGTATTCACACGCCTCTACTTTGTATTCAGTACTTTGTGGGATCATTTTTAGCAGTCATTACAGCTGCAAGTCTTTGTGAGTATGCTTTTGCCAGCTTTCAATGGTCTATTTTTTTTTTTATTAAATGGATGATTTCAGCTGTTTTTTTCAGTAAGTTTTCAATAATTACTGTAACATGTTTATATTTTGTCATTATAAGGTGTTGTACATCCATCAAAAGAAAAAATTCAACTCAGTCAATTCATTCTATTTTGACATTTGTACAACACAAAAAGTCAAGGAGTCGGGGTATTTGCTGAAGGAACTTCACACATCCTGAAAAACACACATATGTAAATAGGCACGCGCACACACTGCTGAACATACCACAGCAAACCTTGAAGGCAAAGCAATGTGACTTCATTACTGCAGCAATGGGTTTTCTGCATAGTATGTTTGTCTATTCTAACACAGAATCTCACTAAATATAACAAAATAGAAACACCAAATCATGAGCAGGCAAATAACAGGACTCATATGACCTGATGTATTGCCTAGCTGTGAATGACACTATGACTATTTTGCAGACATAGTGCCATCTACTGGCAGCATGAGAGAATTGCAGCACTTTTATATGAAACGGAAGGTAATCTTGTAAAGAGAAGCTACAGTATTTGATTTTTTTATGATAATGCCGCAGTAGCAGTAGTACTGCATTAATAAATAAATAAAAAGATTTCTGCCTCCCACAGTTCACTGGGATTTGTCATCTCTGAGAGCATTACATAACTTTTTTACGGGTCCTTTTACAGTAAATCTATTGAAATACTATCCATCCATCTATCCAGTACAGGGTCATGGGGGCCGTAGAACCTTTTCCCTCCCTCTGGCTGCGTATATCGTATGCTAAGAAGCTGCCAATCTCATCCAAGGAGGAATGCAGTGACTGGGTATCCCAGACAGGAAGCCGCCAATCTCATCCAAGGAGGAATGCAGTGACTGGGTATCCCAGACAGGAAGCCGCCAATCTCATCCAAGGAGGAATGCAGTGACTGGGTATCCCAGACAGGAAGCCGCCAATCTCATCCAAGGAGGAATGCAGTGACTGGGTATCCCAGACAGAGCAGGGCTGTCAGGCAGCTTCCCCTCACCTGTCAGTGCCTGTAGGTGCTGCCTTCCTAGCAGGTGCTCCTTCTTATTATGCAGCGAGCTGAAATACTGCTTGCAAGTGCGGCAGTACAGGTGACTGCTGTCATCCGCCTGGCAGAGGGAGGGAGGGAGAGATTCACAGAACAGCCGCACCTATGATCGGGGGGAACCTACAGCCTTTCCCAGCTTGGAATACTTACATCGATCTGTGACAAGGCAAGTGCTTCCATTTCAAGCTCAGAGTCGTCACATTCAATGCCTGAAACCAGCAGAGCAGGGCAGTCCTGCTTAGAGCATAAATCAGCTAAGATCAAGCTAATATCTGTACTATAATTATAGAAAAGAGTCTTGAAGACAGCTTTCCCACTTTCAGTACACCCAGCGTCTTTTCACTACCTAAAACAAACCACAACAATCCCTTTTAACTGAATGTCCCCATGCTGTGAGCCTCTGATTTTACTATCATTAAATAAATGTGTTAGGAATCCACCTGGACCTCTTACCACACAAGTCCTTGGCTTTGTCCCGGGCTTTCTTCCTCAGAAAGGCCTTGTAGGCCTCGCTGTTCTGGTAGGCAACAAGCTCCTGTATGCAGCGCAGCTTGTCCTGCTCGGCTCCCGAGTTGTACTTCTGCATGGACAGAAATGACCCCGTCACATGTGCCCCTCTTATACTCTGTGGATGTAGCATGATTACCGGCAGTAATAAACATGCAGAGGGCCTCTGACTGCGTGTTCATAGAACAGGTTACTTATGCGTCTCTTTACATGTTACTATGTCTACAGCACATCATTGTCCAACTCTACTCCATTTTACTGTCCATAGCAAATTCTTACTTATCTACACTCCACTTTACTGTCAGTAGTGCATTATTGCTCATGATACTGTCATGTCTTTTTTGTACCACTGTCTTTTACACACTGTCACACTGTCTCATCTGTTGATACTGCCGATTTACTGCAATGCTACCTCATGGTCACGCCTCCTTGCACTGTACTCCTCAATTATTTTTTTTCTTGTAAATTTCTTTATGTATATATTCTATTCTATTCTATTATATTCCAGTACATCATTATTCAAATATACTGCAGTTTCCATTATAGCACATTGCTCATCTATAATCAATTTTATTGACGATCTATAGACCATTATTACGCAAGTATGATTTAGTGTGTTACTAGCATGTTATTAATCATGTATTAGATTACTCAGTGTGACATTAATACAACTCCCATTTTTATTCAGACCATTGTATAAAATGTATAATGCACAGGTACTGAGCTGTATTTTCTGTTCATTTATAACATACCTATCAACAAAAATAAAATACTATGGTCTTCTGTAAGTGTTCTTTGGCACAAAATAAATCCCTACTAGCACACTATGTACTGAAGGTTACCGCAAGGTTGGCAGACTGCCTGGGAACCTAGACTGATTTCCCAAAGGTACCAGAAAGGAGGTAACGTGTGTACTAAAGTCGCCGTCAGTCATCAGCAGTGTGAAGGCAGGAACTCAACAGCAGGAGATCACTGGCTACAAGAACAAGACAATGATACAAATACAGCACTTTCTAGAGCTGTGCCGTTTACTGGGAAATGCAAAGCAATATCTGTCTCAGCCCCATCTACCTCTCACCCCCATCTGCATTACGATGGAGAAACAGAAGCCAAGGGAGCCCAGAGCAGAGTGAAGCACCAAGATCACCTGCTGAGGAATCTTCTTCTGCCCCTTAAAACATAAACCATATGGCTCTGGGTCTTTGCTGTTTGTTGACCCTTTAAGTAATGGGATAATAACCTCAAATATGCATCAAAATCACACAAGAAATGGCCAAAGCATGTCAAATCGACACTGGGGATTAGCAATCTTAATTTCTGGGCTGTACCTAACAGAAGGTTCTAGAAAGTCTTCCAGCTGGATTCCTGCTAATGGGTTCCAGGACCTTGTAAAACAGAAACTAGCAAAATATTGAAAAAAATGGACATTAATATTTTGGAATATGGATTTGACTGTTACAAATTACTATAGGATTTTTATAGTACAGTAGAACCTTGGAACTCGAGCACCTCTTAAGTCGACCATCGAACAGGTCTGTCAATTTTTTTTTTGACTTGTACATCGACCAAAATCTTGAAACTTGACCATTCCTGCTAAAACTTGTATGGGTCGAAACGCATTCAACTCTACCAATTCAGATCTCGAGCGGTTGGTCAAGATAAATCTAACCACAGCTTGACTGAAATCCATGGCAAAACAAAACAGAGCTGCTAGAACTTGTACATGTTGAGACGTGTCTCTGAGGGGCTGAAACAAAGGCAAACGGACCTCCTGGGATGCTGATGCCTATCGCTCTCAGTCTCGCGGTACCTCTCCACCGAGTACCAAAGAGTTTCCAAAGAGTGGTGAGATTAACTGTAGAACTTAAAAAGGAAATTATAGTGAGACTTGAAGGTTGTGTATGTATGTCTTCTCTCACTTTGGAGTATGGGATTGTGATTTATTTAATGTTTATCGCTTTTGTATATGTGCTTTTTCATGTGTGTATTAGTTTTACATTTATTGTTAATGCTTTTCATCATTAGGTAGGTAGACAAGTTTAAATTGGCAATCATTTGGGGGTCCATAATGGATTCAATTTATTTGCATTATTTCTTATGGGAAAATTTGACTTGGACTTCAACCAAATTGCAACTCGACCAGCCTTCTGGAACGAATTAAGTTTGTGTTCCAAGGTACCACTGTATTAGTGAAGTATTTCATTTTTCAAACGTTTTGAGCAGAAAGTAGAGCTCAGCACTTGTTTTGTTTGTTTAATGAATGGCATTTCGAACAAAAACGTGATGCCGCACCTGCTTATCCTCTGCGGAGAGCCGGGACCACTGCACTCCCAGCATCTTGGTGATCTCCGTGAAGGGGAGGTCAGGGTTCTCGGCCCTCAGCCGCACTTTGTGCTCATTTACGAATATCATGTAGCTAAGCGCAGCGAGACAACAGGGTTGAGTGGGACAATGCGGCTCCCCGTGGTTTTATAACATTCCTCCAGCCAAGCAATATGACCACATACATGACAACCGACAGGCCAGGTCTGAGGGAACCGATCATATAAGTGTGTGTTTGGGCATCTCAGCACAAGGCTAGGTGAATCGGAGCATGAGTGGGTGGGCGGGGCCAGAATCCTGGACAAAGGTTGCTATTTTTTTTTTTTTAAATAATAAAAAAAAGATTGTCCTGTAGGGGGCGCCATTTCTCAGCTGTCATTCTGCAGATCCGCTGACAGTAGTCCTTCACTTAAGCCCACAGCATACAGTACCTTTCATGCTGCTTCTCCTCAGAGTGTGACCTCCACTGTCATAGCATCTGCAGCTCAAACACCCTCTCGTCTGACCTCCCCATCCCTCCCACCCCCATCTCTTCTTCTCCCGCTCACTCACCCTGTTGTTGGTGCACGCGGTGCTGACGGCTCCCTCCGTGGCTTCCTCTTCTTCCCCTTCGGCCAGCCGCCTTTCCGTTTCTGCGGGAAACACACAAGAAGTTCCAATAGCCTCACAAACCAGCACCTAGTGATGTCAGCTATGAGATCAATGGCTTCCAGAAGACATCAAGTGAGTAATATCTGATCTGTCTAATTCTGGCCCTTTTATGCCTGAGGACGTTCCTTCTTTACTAGCTGAACTCTTGTTTGACTCCTACCTTGGGCTCCTCTGGGTCAGGGCACCGTTGCTCCTGCTCTCCACCCAACAAGAGACAGGGGTTCAGGGCTTGAAGGGGCTCCAGTGAGTCCAGAGGTTCCAGAGACTGCAGGGTAGGGGGTAGAGGCTGGATGGACAGCAGGCCCGCTGCAGAGGGCAAAGGGGGCACCTCATCCTCAGACAAGAAGGGCTGGGAGGGAACTGCTCAGGGCCAAGACAGAGTCCCATTGAGAGACACACAACATACTGTTTCACCATTTCAAAAACATGAAAGATTCATTTGATGCTCAAGCTGGCAACAAGAAGAGGCATTACACATTTATAAGACATGTGACCGCATTGGAGGGGCACAAAGCATTCATATCAGGACTGGGGGAAGTGAAAGATTAGGTCTTTCTAAACACAAACCCATATGGGGAAATATCTCTTACTATTAAACAAACATTTAAAAACTATGAAATTACTATGGAAATACATTTTATGTAACATCTGAAACAAAAAAAAAGAGCTAAATATTTTGCAACATATTAACGTTTCGATTGAAGTCACAATGGTAGAGTCTATTAGCTTATTAATTTTCCTGCACTTTCCAATAGGCCACCGCCTAGCAAGATGCAGTGTAGAAGTGGGCAGTCTGCGCAAATGAGCCGCAGCACACCTACCCCCCGCCTGAAAGTGCAGACCGCCCTCCGTGGTCAGCGGGCTGACGAATGACACCGCGCCTCCGCTCGGATCTGCCGCCACATATATTAGTCTGAAAAGGCACAGCAAGAATACCACTTCGGCTGAAAGCACAAGCCCTGCACGCAATACTGAAACGTTTTCTAAATGAAAAAATAATACCGATATCACAGTGTAAGCATTACAAAATGCTATAATTTTAGAATTTTATTTAAAATATATATATATAATTAAGTTTATTCTTTTTTTCTTACTAAATGTGTAAAATCAATATTAAAGTTGGATATTACATTTAGCAAACTATCCACTTGATTCTGAATGTAAAGTGTGGGAAAATTACAATAATTAAAAATGTTAAGTATTTATAATGCATACCTAATACTATAAAACAAATTATGGGCGTTTGTGCTTCTAGCTAATGATATTCCAGGTGCCCCAGCCAGTAAGTTAACTAAAGTTTCATTAAGATACCTCTGCTGACCGTCAAGGCTTTGGACGGAGACTGTGACAGGTACGCCATCAATGTATGCGGAAAGTGGAGATCTGCCCTCCGCCGCGTCCTCATACGTGAGACCGTCGGCAGCTCCAGTGTCACGGGGGCCCATTGAGCCTCTCGGTTCACAGCCTGGGATGGGGTCGAGGTCGAAGCTGGCGACTGAGACTGGAACGATTTCACCCGGTGATACCACCGTCACCGAGTTCGTCGTTAAAACAGGATTCAGTGCAGTATTCTGGTTCATAGCGGGACACGGACCGCTTCCATTCTCGGTGATGCGGCAAGAGCAACAAACCCGATCGTGACAGCACCTAGGGAAGCTAATCGAGCGAAACGCAAGTAAGCACATTCACCCTTCTTCAAAATATTTTTAACCATTTATGAATTCACTAAAACCTAATACAGTAGTCACATTACTGACCAATCTGTCAGTAAATAATTTTCAATAACATATTTTTTATTGCAAAATTAAGAAGCTTTCAGCAAATCTGTCTATTTTTAACTGTTCATATTTGAATTCCTGGACCAATCATATCCACTTAAAGCACCAAAGCAAGATAAAACGTCAACCATAACCACTAAATAACTAAGATTACAAAATTTGCATAGACGACACTGCGAATGCCTGGAATTCGTTTACTAATGCCTTGTTAGATGATCAGGAAATACGACAAACTTCCGGAATTCGGAGCCAATCAGATGAGTGGATTTGTAACTAGCCCTTGGTTTTGCCAATAGAAATATTTCAAAACTCCAAGTGGGCGGAGACATTGTCATTGTCAACTGTCCGGAGGTTATATGGTTTTATTAGTTAAAAATGGTTATTGTGCCGGTGAATAATCGTGTAAAAAGTTAAATAGAATAAATGGGGAAGGCTTTCGGCGTATTTAAATTTAAATTGTAAAAGATATATTATTTGCTTTTATAGACCGCTACTTGTCCTGAGACCTAAGAGTAAGTATGGTGCATGTTTGTCACAAAAATAAATTGATAAGTTCATTGCTTGAACTGCTTGTACAATAACGTGGTGCTAATTTTAGTGCCACTGTACATTTGTTTTGTAACACAATTAAGTTATGGTTATAATTATTATCCAAAACAGGACTTGTTAGGTTTGTGCCGTAATACTCTTTGTTAAAACTGTCATTATAAGACGTGAGTAATGACACATCATCATAGTCAGGAATATCCATTAACATTTGGATTGGCACAAGGCTGGGATTTTCTCGGCTTTGAAGATGGATACGTCTTTACTTCTATTGTTTTTATGTTATATAACAAACTGAGTTTTTGACCTTTACGTCATTAAAAAAACAAACAAGTATGGTTTATGTATAGTTGAAACTCTACGGTAACTCTCTTTGGGGTTAAGTAGATGTTGATTATGATATAATACAGAACATTTTGTTTGGTAAAAAGACCAAAAATTAGAAAATTATATTGCTATATAGCCATTTCAGCGCCTTATTCTTCGGGGAAACGGTGCATCGGCGACCGATGAGAGCCGATGCATCGGAGACCGTTTTGTCGCCTCACTTTGCGTTGTCTACGATACATTAGTAATTATTTTGTGTCGTCGTCCTTCCCGTTACATTTGCGAAGCATCGAATTATATTTTCCCAAGTTCAAGTCCTTGTAATACCGCATGCGGTACTATTTAAGGTCACCTCGAACGTATGAATATCGAAAAATGAGAGACTGGAGTCCCTCTGTAACTGAAAAGGGTAATCATTTTAACCGATATAAAATAGATTTTATTGCCCGTGCTTTTTAAAAAAAATGTATAATCATGAAGCGTCAAAATTACGAGTGTGCATGCATCTATATGTACTGCCTACCTGAGCACAGTTTACCCTAAACCACGCCATCCACCCCTCACCCCTATTCGAGCACAGTCTCTGCACGGCACTGTGTAGAATATTCAGTCAGATCCAGGTTATACATACATCTAAATAATTTAGCAATTTAACGTCTTGCAGGCATAATTCATGGATTATTTCAATGCAGATAAAAATATAGTTTATTGGATTTCATATCGAATTTCTTTTTCGACTGAGTTTGGTGGCATTTAAAATGGCCTTATTAGCTCTACTAATATATTGCCAAAATAGCGCAACTGTCAAACTTAATGCAGAAATATTTATAAAAAAAATATTCTAAAATATATATATTTGTTTTTTGTACTTTGTAAAAAAACTTTAGATGTTTACCAGGATATTGTGATTATTGTCTGAGGTTTCTGTACTAACACGCGTGATGTACTGTAGAAAAAGGCCTTTACCCCATGAATTTGTAGTACAGCTAAGGTATAATGTAGCATAACTGTATTGGAAAGAAATATGAGACAGATAGAGTGGTTTTACTGGGTATGTTATGTGTTTTATTTTACCCTTTCTTCCTAACTCAGGAGAGATGGACCTCTGTCCTCCCCCATCAGGCACCCCTCCCACCACACCTGCCCCCACTCCTCCCTGTCTGCCCCCAGGGTCCACCCTAGCATCCCCTTGTCCTTCTCCCCCTGGCAGCCAAACTGGGACCTGTCCCGTCCCACCTGTTGCCTCTCCTACCCCTGGTCACATGACCCCTCTGGCCTCCCCCATGTCTCCCTCGGTCACTGTGCCCCCTGCGCGCCCCCAGCACCAGTCCGTCCGGCCTGCAACCCACTTAGGCCGTTCCCAGCTGAACGCTGCCACTGGCGTCACCCGACCGTCCCCATCGCTGCCGGAGGATCGGAGGACCGCAGCTACTGGGTCGTTCAGCTCGCCGCGTCACACACTACAGTCCGAGGCTGGTGAGTGGCGTCCATCCGCATGGGACGCGTGATTGATAACCTCTCCGATGGCACAGTACTGTATAATGTCGCTAGGTTCTCTCTTACTGGGGCGGCGTTTCTCAGAAGCTTCAGTCCAAAGCAAACCACACAGCATCTGTAGGTCAGTGTTTCCTGAAGTGTTTTGGTCTTCGTATCTTTGTTAAGGTGGCTGTCCACCCGGGACTGGAATTTTTTGGCATTTGACTGGCTGCCCATCTTGCTTGACCGATTGTGAACACGGTAGCCTTTGGGAGGCGGGGCTCGTGATCCATTCCCTCATGGAGCTGAATGGCAGGCTCTCATGATGGTTGGAGAATCCAGCAGTTCACATCTTTGCAAGCATGTGGTTACCTCTTTTCACGTTGCTTCAGACAAATGCTGGAAGTTTGGAATGCCCACTAAGCCGATGAGAAGCCTCTGATCCCACACCTCCTTCCTCCATGGGTTTGAAGAGAAACTGGACACCAGTAACTAGAAGCATACTGGGTAAACAATTACTTAGAAGGCCTGAAGAGAGACTGTCACTATGCTGAGCCGCTCTGCCAAGAATCTTCGGAATGCCGGGTGGGGAGATTGAGGCAGGCCTGCTGTCCGCCAGTCTGGTGGTGCCGAAAATAACCCCCCCCCCATTATGTCTGACATCCCTTGCCTCTGGATTTGTCTGGATTTGGTTCTTGCTGTTATAGGGTCCGGGGAGCTCTTACCACTATTTTGGAGAGAGCCCAGGGAAAGGTGTAATGCTTACTCAATGGTTATTTGTAAAACATAAGGGCAATTAGCAGGGCTGACTTTTTTTCTGAAGGGTGACTTGGTCAAACACTGAGCTCTCTGGTACTTAAAGATGTTCCCTGAAAAATAGAGATGCACCATCTGTGCCTGTTGTGATTGGCTGCTGTAGATCCCAACATTTGTATAGATACAGACGTGGACAAATTTGTTGCTACCCTTACAGATCATTGAAACAATGCTTAATTTCTCCTGAAAAGTGATTCAATTTAAAAGCAATTGTCTAACGTATACCTGCATGCCTTTAGCATGTGACAGAGTAAACCAATCAAATTGTGAAAAGAAATTATTTGTTGTTTATTTTACAAAGATATGCTAAAATAGTATGGACAGATTTGTTGGAACCCCTAAAGAGACTATTTATCCTTGCATTATAGTTATGTTTCAAACTAAGTGTTTAACCTTAATTAGTATCGCAGGTGCCTTCAAGCTATTCATCAGTCATTCAGCCTGTTTAAAAGGAAAGATCATGCTACTGTGTTGTTTGGTATCATTGTGTGCACCACACTGAACATGGACCAGAGAAAGCAGGGGAGAGAGCTGTCTGAGGAGCTCAGGAAGAGGATTGTGGGTAACCATGTTAAAGGGAAAGGCTATAAGACCATCTCCAAGCAGCTTCATGTTCCTGTGACCACAGGGTCAATATTATTAAAAAATAATATTGGGACTGTAGCCAACCTCCCAGGATGTGAACACAAGAGGAAATGCAACCCCAGGTTGATCAGAAGGATAGTGCTGATAGTAGATAAAGAGCCAAGGAAACCATCCTAAACCATTCAAGCTGAGCTCTAAGGTCAAGGTACCTCACTTTTTGGTCACTCTATCCGTTGCATTTTGAACAATAATGGGCTCCATGGAAGAAGACCCAGGAGGGCTCCACTATGGACAGAAAAACATAAAAAGCCAGAGTGGAATTCACCAAAATGCATGTTGACAAGCCCTAAAGTTTCTGGGAGAATGTCCTTTGGACTGATGAGGCAAAACCGGAGCTTTTTGGCCAGTCACACCAGCTCTGTTTACAGAAGAAAAAAGAAGAGAACATCATACCTACTGTGAAACATGGAGGGGCTCGATTTTGTTTTGGGGCTGCTTTGCTGCATCTGGCCCAGGGAATCTTGAATCTGTGCAGGACACAATGAAGACTCAACACTACCAAGGCATCCTGGAGTGAAACATACTGCCCAGTGTCAGGAAGCTCAGCCTCAGTCGCAGGTCATGGGTCCTCCAGCAGGATAATGACCCAAAACATACTCAAGCCTTTTTTCTTCTTCTTGTATTAGTCCCCTTATGTCTCTCAAAAGGCTCTGCCTTTTGTCAGGCCACAGCTGTAAATAAGAAACTTGTTCTTAATCTGTCTTGCCTGGTTAAATAAAGGTAAATGAAAAAGAATAGCTGAGAAAAAAAACATTGGACTATTCGTAAATGGCCCTCCATGAGCCCAGATCATAATCCTATTGAACATCTATGGAAAGATCTGAAAATTGCAGTGTGGAGACGCCACCCTTCAAACCTGAGACAGCTTGAGCAGTTTGCTCAGGAAGAGTGGGCCAAACTACCTGCCGGCGAATGCAGACGTACAGAGATCGCTTGGTTGTAGAGATGAAGAAGAGAAGATGGTGCCACAAAATAATAAATTAAGGGTACCACCTCTTTTGTCCGTGCCATTTTCATTTGTTTTAATAATATAAAATATTCAACTGAATTAATAATCAAAATCAAAGTCTGATTTGTGTTAAATATGGAATAAGCAATGAGGGAATGGCATCAAACTTTTGTCAGTTTCAAGTTATTTCAGACGTAGTTGTGTTTTTTTTTGTGGAAGGGTACCAACAAATTTATCCACGTCTGTATTTGTTAAATCGGGAGTTGCATTATGTGAACTTCTGGGGTCTAATTGGGTGTTTTGAAAGACAATAGACTATTTAATATTATTTAATGTTTGCATTCATCTCTCACTCCTGTGAATAGGGGCAGCTTTGGTTTTCCGCTGCTGATTGTGGAATAAAAAGTTTTTATTTATTATCATTTAAATTAAGTTCAATGTTTAAAAATGGCCCTATTATCAAATTTTAGGCATAAAACACGAGAGACAAGCAGACAGATAATCCCCATTTGTACCCATTAATTCACTGGATATTAACCCCAATCCTGACAACCTTCACACAGTGCTGGTCTTTATTTATTTTACCAGCTGCTAATAAGTGCTAAAATGGTTGTTAGTTTAATCAGTTTGGGTGCAGTGTTTGGATGTAAGTCTTTGTACAGAGTATTTTATGGGAAACAGGGCTGATAGGCTAAGTGGATTTAGACTGGTGCAGGGGAAAGAGACGTGCCCCCCCCCTGCTTTTCAGAAAATAACACCATGAGTGAGGACTTTAAGGCCCCGGGGATGGGGGCAATGTGCCCTTACTGTGGCTGGCATGGACCAGGGAGCTGCTGCAGTGGGCACCTCCTGCTCTCCATTGCCCCGTCTCTGTCTCTATAGCAGCCTTGGAGTGCTTATATTTAGAAGGGCTTTGATTGCCGCCCCATTCATTGGGCACCTGTAAAAATAACCATGATCCGAGTGGATTTTTTCTCTCACACCCAGGCTGTTGTGCATCCCTCTGGTTCAGTGACGGTACTATCATTATGTTCTACGCAGTCACTCCGGAGAGTGGCCAACTTTCCAAGCCTGTAAATAACAAGGCAAATATATGCCATAAAAACGCACTCGGCTCTGGCTCTTAGTCAGGCTTTTCGGTTTAAATTTAGTGCTGTACCTGCTATAAAAATCCCCCTGCTCTTGTCTGAGGAGCTGGTCTGCCTACTGTCACTTGTACCAGGCAGGACGTGCGTGAGGGCGGCTGTCCTGGTCGCTCACCCTGCTGCTAAGTGTCGTTTGTAAGTTTGCCATCATACTGGTTATGTAAGCACCTTCTCCAGCCACATCGCCCATCACACCCATCGGCGTCGTGGCCACTGTAAGCCGCGCGTCGGCCACCTGCCTGCCTACAGATTGGAAACTGGATAAACCATCTGGTCTTCTGCTGTCAGGCCGTGCCAGTCTGTGGCACATGATTTCCTCACATTCGTCTTTTTTTTTTTTTTTAAATATTCTTTACATAGCAGATGCTCTTATCAAAAGCAGTTTGCCATATTTACTTGTGCAGTCCAAGTCAGAAGGGTTTCTCGTCCAGCTTAGGAGTGCAGTTGTGCTTAAAATACAACCCTGCATCCCCGACGTAAATATCTTAGTTCCTTAACTGCTAAGTTGTGTAAAGCACAGCTAGGAAAATAGAAGTGAGTGTTAAAATATGTGAGCCGCTAAAATGCAGCCTTTGCTGTCTTATTTGTTCCACCGTTACAGTCCGTCATGTACATCTGCTTCAGTCTATTGCGAAATCCAGTCTGTGTTTTCATCTGTGCCCCCATCCTGTTTCCGGTTCCACATTTCAAAATTTGCCGCAGTCTGCAAGACAACTGCTTTGCTCTTTTCTATGATTCTATTGTGTTTTAGGCTCCCCTACATTTGAACCCATGTTAAAAAAGTCCTGGTCTCCCTGTCCCAACAGACACTTAGTGATATATAAGTGATATATAAGCCCCCCCCCAAGGTCATGCGGAGGGCTTTCTCACCAGCCAGGGCCGGGATGGGATTGTCGAAAGAAGGCAAGGAGCTACTGTTTTTGGCGTGAGTGGGGGAAAATGAAAACAGCCAAAAATAAGAAAATGCTAACGGTGACTGCTGGGGCGCGAGGAACTGAAAAACAACTATTTATAATGCATGTGAATGAGAGGCGGGAAAAAGGAGTATCTGCAGTCTGCCTGGTCCACATATTACAGAAGAGCAGCTGGGAGTTATTTTAGTGCTTTAAGATGATGCTGACGTTGCCTGAGAGTGTTCCTGAGAAGGGGGCCTGAGCTGTGCTTCAGGGGATGCCTGCGGTGCTTCTGATGCAGCTGATGAGTTACCTGTTAAATCTGAAAAAATATACAATTCCCAGTGTTTCCTTATAGATCAAGAGATTTGGAATGGGGGCATTGTGGGGGATGGGGATGGGGGGGGTGTTGTACATAACAATGTGACGACAGCCTAACTGCACCGCACAAAGCCTAACTGTGTATGTGACTCAGCCTAACTGCACTGCACAAAGCCTAACTGTGTATGTGACTCAGCCTAACTGCACTGCACAAAGCCTAACTGTGTATGTGACTCAGCCTAACTGCACTGCACACAGCCTAACTGTGTATGTGACTCAGCCTAACTACACTGCACGCAGTAAAGTAATGGGTGTCGTGTACTTCCGTCTGATATCAATGTAGTGAATAAAGGGGAGAAGACCCCCCCCCCTCCCCCGCTGCCCTAATTGAAAACGGTAATCTGATACGGTTTAGCATTCACGATGGAATGCTAATTCCATTAATTACTGCTAATGTAATTAGTTTGCTAGGAGATTAACAGGTAGACTGAACTGTTTTTCTCCCATTCTCACATGACAACATAACAGTAAAATAGTGATTTACACGCAGGATTCAGTGTGTGGGTGAGGAATGAGGCAGTGAGGAGAGAGATGCATCGTCGCCGCCATCTGAGTACCTGCTCTGTTTACCTACCTCGTCTGTTTTTCTTTTCCTTGGAAAATACCTAAGTAAGCTAATTTTGTTACAGCTTCATAAGAGCATCTGCTAAATGACAATGTAATATAGCCGCTATAATTAGTGCCGCTAACCAGCTGAGTTCCATAAGGTGTGCATGGGGGGGCGGAATCGGGCTACCCTGCCGAGTCACAAAGGCCATGGATTAGATAATTGATTGGTTGGAAAAGTTTTTTTTTTGTGCCGTGGCGGCAAAGTTTTTGGTAGTCTACAAAGAAATGTTACCAGCGGAAACAGTGAATTCCTCTGACTTGGGGCCTGTATCACGAAGCAGGATTTCTTGCTTAGCTTGTCTGATTTAAGGTACCCCAGTTTAACTTGATGTGTTACTTTAAACCACCACATTGTTTACTCTGGTATCTTCAGTTTCAAATTTAGCTTGTCAGCAAAGATCTGTTCCAGAAAATATGTCACTTCCCACATTTTGTAGCATGTCCTCAGTCGTTGTTTGTTTTAGTACATTGTGTTGTGCTGAACTAAACAGTTTTGGCTTTACTAGATTTATGTCACATTTGGCTTGGTGACATAAAGTCTGTTTACTAAATGCAAGAGAACAGTGCCGAGGGCTATTTTTAAATGTAAAACGATTCTTTTCCGTTATAACTGAGCCACAGTCATGCAATTTTTATATGCCAATCAATCAAAACAGAAATTGTAAATCCCAACCTGACATGATAAAAATATGCTAGTTTGATTTATGAACTTGGCATTGGTTTGTAATTCTGCCCAAGTACAAAGTGCACATACTTTGTCCTTTGTGGATACACTGGTGTGTTTTTTTTCCCATTTCAAAAGGAAAAATGTGAAAATCAATCGCAGTGCTTTTAAGCTTCCTGTGAGACCTGTCCTTGTTTGCAGGGAAGAATATAGCTTTTCATTTTCCCCTGGGCCATTATTGAGTGGTAGGATTAAAATAAGGATTTATTTCTAGGAGTGTTTGCTGGCAGGGCGGCTAGTGTGTACCGTCAATTTCTTTTCCCATCAAGCTATTGGTCGGTCTTTCGGAGATGCCGGCCTTGCATGACAGAGTGAGATTACCAGCCAGAGGTGTTGATATTGGTGTCTTTCCCCTGTTGCACCAGCTGAGATTCAGACGGATAAACCAACAAAGACGATTTGGCCTGTCTGGGGATATACTGTAACCCCATCTGTAACACAACAGTACATCTCTGCAACCTGCAGTTTAAATTTGTACAGTTCTATCTTCCTAGAGAGCTCAGTTATTTTTTATATCGTTTACATATATTTTTGTATGAATTTACATAAAAATTATTTTTATTACACTGAATCAAAAGCTTAAAAAGAAGCTACCAGGTAGTCTGTAATACAGGTGTGGTCACACATGGTTCTGCTGGGGCTCAGTCAGGAGGAATGAATGATGAAGTAAGGATGTACACATGAGACGTACAAAAACCTTTACAGACATAGCAAGCCTTTGGCTATGTGTCCCAGTCTGTGGTTAAACTCCACTCTGCCGTCTCTGTTTCTCTATTGATTGAGCCCCCCACAGCTCAGAACAAGGCAATGATTGAGCTGTGATGTGTGGAACATTACCTCCCACCATCAGACCCAGAGACAGCAGCTCCCCTGCTTACATAGCCCTCTGCCCTTTCAAGAGCATTTGTGAATCCCTGCACTTGTGAGGAAATGTGTGCCTAAGTTGTCTTGCCTGGCCTCAAGCAAACAGGAGTAAACAGGAGTTAAGTACAGGTTTCTATTTCCATGGTATTTTTCTGGTACCAAAGAATCCTGTTATCTGTTTAAAGAGAAGTTAAATGTTTAGCTCTTGGGCCTTGTTAGTACTCCTCATATGAGGTGCCTGTTAATTGCCATTGATGAAATCTTATGGTTTGAAGTTATACAGTGTGTAGCAGAGTAGTAGGACATGGGCCCTCAGTCTGAAGGTTGGCAGTGATGAACAAACTTTAGCAAAGGTCTTGTTGAGCAATCCAGTTGACATGTCCATTGATTTCATAGGGAAATGGATAAGCAGCTGAATGTGTGCATGTGTTTGTGTGTGTAGAGGCCAATGCAGCAGAGGAGATCAGCCCTGAGGAGTTGGAGGACAGGGCTAAGGATGGAGACCCCAAAGCCCAAACCGAGGTCAGTCTCCTGATTGCTCTTTGCAGTTTTATTCCTCCAGTTCTTTCCTTGTGCCGTCGCAGATGTTTAGGAAACATCAGTGTAACACAGAGAGTAGGACATGATCACCAAGCCTGCTCTGCAAAACCTTTCAACTGTAATATCTGTAAACATTTTAGAATTACATGGGGCTCAGATGGGTTACTGGTTTAGACAGGAATACATTCATTATGGGGTCACAGCCACCCCCGGGATGATAACCTACAGAAAAGCCCCAGTGTTAGTTTTGAATTACTAGCTCTTCTGCAATGGCACTGTGGTGTCATGTCTTGAACAGACAAAATCAACAGCCTCGACCTTCTTAGAACACCTAAAAGGACCTTTGTTATTAGCTGTGTTGTCTCCGGAGTATAAACTGTTTCCTCTTAATGCTGTATTTTTATAGGGTCCTCACTGTCATATTACTGTTTTGTGCAGCTTTCTCCCAGTGTTAGGTAATCATCAGGATGCCAGTGAAATATGTCTTGGCTCTGTGTCCTGTTAAATGAGAATTTACATCAAACAATAGTCATCGTCTCTGGTTTGACATGTGGAACAACTGCCGTCGAGGCTGAGTCTGCATTGTTTGCATGTGTGTTTGAATCTATAGAACCTGTATGTTATAACTGAGCATCATTAATGGCCAAGTCCTGGCGTGCCCACCGTGTGTGTGATTGCAGATGGGGAAGTATTACCTTAAGCTGGCAGAGCAGAGGGATGAGGAGCTGAACCAATGCAATGCAGTAGGCTGGCTGGTCCAGGCTGCCAAAAATGGCCGCAAAGAAGCCGTCAAGCTCCTGAAACAGTGCCTGGCTGAGCGGAAAGGTGGGTGGGGTCTGGATAAGGATCCTGGGAAATGTAGTCTCCCTCATCATCCTGTAGTTTCACCGTTCATTACACTGTGCATGTTCTTTTTAATCCTTTAATCCTGTCCCTGTTTTACTAAAGCATACTGGAGTTGGCCATGTGAGACATGGTAAATCTACTGCATTAGAATCTGAGCTACTCTGCCTGCTCTGAAAAGCACATGATGCGTATAGCAGAGCATCACTGTTGAGGTCTCTTTGTGTAAAATATGAGCTTAGCAGTAGATAGGAGAGACAATGCATGATACCTTGCACACATCCTGCAGGTATAACCTCAGAGAATGAGGAGGAAGTCAAGAAGCTCGCCACTGAGAGTAGGTTTGAGCAAGCCGTGAGGAAGGCTGCCTTGCTGATGTACTGGAAGCTGAACCCCGAGAAGAAGAAGAAGGTAGCCATATCTGAGATGTTGGAGAACGTTGGCCAGGTCAACTCCGACCATGGTAAAGCATCTGGTGTGGAATCGTCAGTGTCCTGTGAAGGGTGTTGTGAGAAGCTGTCTAGCTGCAGATCATTCTGGATTAAAATGTTGAATGTGTCACCTCCACAGATGGTGTTGCCACACCAGGCCCGGTCCCCAGCTCTGTGCAGAAGCAGAGGCGGGTGCTGGAGAGACTGGTCAGCAGTGAGAGTTCTGGTAAGGATTCGGTTGTTTGTGTGTGTGTGTGTATGTGTGTGTACGAGCGGGTTTACCTATCCTTATGGGGACATAATGTGAAGTGATAATTATTCATTCACAAGCAGTGCTCACTGAACACTTTTACCTGCAGCTCATTCCTGTGAACCTCAATTTGTAATTCTGTTTATAAGGAAAATCATGTTATTTTAAACCAATTGAATGCAGAATGATGTGGCCACAAGAGATCTGAACATCAGGTTTCTACTTATCTGCATGGCATAGTATGTTTCTAATAGAATGCATCATTTTATCAGTTGAAAGTAGGGATACTCCTGATCTTAAGGTCTGCAGCTGTCAGTTTCTCAGCATTTACTAGCTAATATTTTTAAAAGCGTCATTAGAATAGTGTAATGATCTGCTGGTTATTTTGTGCCCTCGCAGCTAACGAATATGTGGGTTTGGACGATTTCGTGGAAGTCACCAAAAAATACGCTCAGGGCATCATCCCGCCTTTGGTAATGGAAGGTGTGAGCACCGACGACGACGATGATGATGAGGCCCTGGAGAAAAACCCAGACAACCTGCCCCTGAATCGCAAGGTATGCTGCGCTACCAGCCACACAACCTGCTACCGCAATCGCCTGGGTTCCTGGTGTTTGACCCAGTTAAGCCTCTGTACTTAATTATAGCTTTATGGTCTGTTTCATGCTAGATATTTAACAGTTTGAAAACCACACATTTAGTGCCCTAATATAATTCTGATACCACAAACAGCTGCCACTGGGCACTTATTCAATACAGAGGAAATAAATGCCGCTGTCTTTACAGTATGTGACTGTCTTAACTAGGCCTGTTTTAAAGGAGACTCCCATTTGGTGATAATAGGACTGGACATAGATAACAGTAGAACCCATGAGCTCTGAAAGTGAGGAGTTGGCCTAGGAAATACTATACAAATATACTCATGTTAGCTTAGACAATACTATAGAAATATGTTTATGTTGGCTTGGACAGTACTACACAAAGGTACTCCTGTTGGTTTGAACAGTACTACACAAATACACTTATGTTGACTTGGACAGTACTACACAAATATGTTTGTGTTGGCTTGGACAGTACTATGTAAATGTATTCACATTGGCCTTAATGTGGTCTAAGTTTACAAAGAGTGTGGTGAAATGTTTCAGCATGAAAGGCAGAAGTGTTTAGCATTAAATAATAATATTAGCAAATACAATTATCACAAATATTTCACCTGCAACAAGATTCGAAATCTGACATTTTGTCACTTTGTGATCCTTTTCAGATCCTTAAGTACCCGCTTCACGCAATTATTGAGATCAAGGAACATCTGATTGACTGGGCGTCAAGAGCAGGGATGCAATGGCTCAGTGCCATCATCCCCACCCATCATGTGAATGCGCTCATCTTCTTCTTCATCATCAGCAACCTCACCATTGAATTCTTCGCCTTTATCATCCCCCTGGTCATCTTTTACCTTTCTTTTGTCTCCATGGTGATCTGCACCCTGCGAGTATTCCAGAACAGCAAGGCTTGGGAGAACTTCCGTGCCCTCACCACCTTACTAACACGCTTTGAGCCCAACATAGATGTGGAGCAGGCTGAGTCTAACTTTGACTGGAACCATCTGGAACCTTATCTATACTTCTTTCTGTCGGTCTTCTTTGTTATCTTCTCTTTTCCTGTGAGTGATAAGGCCTGGATCCCATGTTCTGAGCTGGCCACCGTGGCAATCTTCTTCACCGTCACCAGCTACATGAGCCTACATTCGTCAGCAGAGTCATTTGCCCGGCCGGCACTCCTTGTTGAGATGGCATCATCCGTGTGTGACATGACCAACTTCCTGCCAGAGAACATGTCCTTCCTGCGCTTCCTGGGAAAGACCTTCATGGTGGTGCCGCTGGGCGACTTTGTAGTCCTGAAGATGAGCATTCCCTGCCTGCTGTACATGTACCTTTTCTATCTGCTGTTCAGGATGGCCCGGCTTCGTGGATTCCGGGGCATCTACTGCTTCCTAGTGCCCTACCTGGTGTGCTTCATGTGGTGGGAGTTCTCCATGGTCCTCCTCCAGAACTCCACCACCATCGGGCTGATCCGCAGCTGCGTGGGCTACTTCTTGTTTTTATTTGCACTCCCCATTCTCACCCTGGGTTTAACTATCATGCTGCTTATTCAGATGTTCAAGTGGTTCTTAGCTCTGGAGCTAACCAAGATGATCGTCACCGTGGTGGTGTGTGCTATCCCAGTCGTTCTGCGACTATGGACCCGCTTCAGCCTCTCCCTGCTGGACATCATCAAGTCCCTGTCCAAGAGCAGTGTGGTCAAACTCATTTTGGTCTGGATCTCAGCAGTCTTCCTCTTCACCTGGATGTACGTCTATCGTTCGGAGGGCATGAAGGTGTACAACTCTACACTGACCTGGCAGCAATACAGCTTCTTATGTGGTCCACGGGCCTGGAAGGATTCCAATATGGCCAAGATACAGATCCTCTGCAGTCACCTGGAGGGCCACCGTGTCACCTGGACGGGCCGCTTTAAGTATGTGCGGGTGACGGACATTGAGAATGGCCCTCAGTCAGTCATCAACCTGTTGCCGGTCTTTTTGGGAGACTGGATGCGCTGCTTGTATGGTGAGGCCTATCCCAAGTGTGACCCGCAGAATGTCACGCTCCACGAAGAGGAGCTATGTCGACTGAAGTATCTGGCCAAGCACGAATGTCACATCAAACGCTTCGACCGCTACAAGTTCGAGGTGACAATGGGCATGCCGTTGGACAAGAAGGGCCGGAACGGCACGTTGGAAGATGACGATGCCACAAAAGATATCGTACTCAGGGCCAGCAATGAGTTCAAGCATGTCCTGCTGAACCTAGGGATGGGTAGTATCGTGGAGTTCAGCACTGTGCTCGAGGGTCGCTTGGGAAGCAAATGGCCCGTGTTTGAGCTCAAGGCCATCCACTGCCTCAACTGTGCTTCACCACTGATCCCTGTGGGCAAGCAGTATAAGATCGAGCCGGACTGGCGGGCCACGGCCCACAATGCCTTCAGATTTGCCTTTAACTTTTTCTTTAACCCATTCTTGTCGGCCAGGACAGAATAGTGCACGCGCTTGTCGTGGGGAACACTTTGATGTGTGGGAAACTACATGTGACTCCTGGTAATTCCGCATGCATTTCACAAATAGCTCATGTCATGGGTGTGAGTGTCTTTTTCACTACTATTTATAATGCAATGTGTAGCTGTAAAAACGTGTAAGCACTTCTTTACTGTAGGACTATACAGAAATGAATACTTATGCAAAGCTGTGTGGAATCGATACAGTGGCTGCTTTGCCAAAGATGACATCACAGTGGTCTGCATTGATTCTGTCCGATAATTGGTTCCTCGAGTATTCCAGGCTATGACTTCACTTAAGCAGCTCAAACAGTGGCGGTGCCCACAGGACCACGCTCCTCATACAGTGGCAATGCTTTACAGTGACCTGCAGGAAGGACCAACCATTTGTGGCCCCATTTAAGAGACTGCCTTGCCACACTGCACATTTATTTTGAGCATAGAAGTCGCTGTGCATTGCTCATTAACACACTTTTAAATAATTATATGCTCATACTTCTCATGAACTCGAACAACAGAGGTAACAGAGTCCTGGGGGTTTCTGCACAAGGATGTGACACTAAGGAAAGGTGAACAGTGTGGGAATTTCAGTCGTGAATTTCAACTGCTGCACAAGGAGTAGGCATGTTTTCACATTTGGCTCAATTATGCAGGAAGGTGTCACATTTGGTGGATGTAGGATACAGTCTTACATTGAGATTAATTAGTGAGATACCTCAGTTAAATGTGGGGAAATGTACGTATGCCTTTTAATTTCTTTGGACCCGTTGATCCACTATGTTTCTTAGCTGCTGCTTCCGGTCATTCTGAAAAATCTAGGTAATATATTGTTAAATCCTGTTTATTGCTAGGTATTCTTTACACTTGTGTGATATTTAATTACAGTTATTTTAAGGCCTTAATATTTTGTGAAACTTGTAAATTCAAGTGTGAAAAGCTTAACTGGCCAAGAGTAATAAAAATAATTCTAAGAGAATAATGAGTATTTTTTTACGTGCTTGTGGTTTAGTGAAGCTTTCCGCTCGTTGTGGTGGCCCAGGTTGGAGGGATTTATTTTTCTCTGGAAATCCTTTTGATGCAATTCACCTTAAAGGGCTTGGCTTTGTGTGACACAAACAAATATTGGGTATGCAGCCTATAGTGGCAGTCCAGGCTCCACTTGGTTACTCCCCATTGTTTCATTGATTGACAGCTGCATAATGGTCTGTGGCCTGGCAGGTAACAGCAGTAGTATTTAGTGCAGGAACCCTAATGTCGGTATGAGTGTCCATTTCACTGCCCTGGCAATTCATGAAAGCTTGGCGACAGAGCAAGATGCTCCAATGATGATTGTTGTCCTAAAATCATAAATCACAACTGCAGGGCAAGTATAGACTGGACTACTCTTGCTTGCACTCCTGATCTAATGCTAATCAATAACATTAAATAATTCATGAGACGCGAATGTTTGGCCTCATGCGTCCCCTCCAGGGAAGCCGTAGTAACTAACCTGCTTTAAGTGCTTTAAACTTCCACTCCGAACTAAAACTGTTAAACAATCAGACTATAACTTTTGGCTTACATGACAAATTAACCCTAAGACATGACAAGCGGAAGAAAGACCATGATCAGAACAATTATTATGTCAATCTCAACACTGAATGCTTTTGGCAATCCTACTATTTGTAAGCTAAACTCTGCAAATTAAATAGCAATAAAATGACACAATCAACATTATACAAAATTAACAAATGTTGAAAAATCCCTAGATTTGTTTTCAAATCATCATCACGTTGAATTACACATATATTTACCCATACTGACTGGTAAAGAGATAAAATGGACCTAATAAGTAGCCCTCTTGCATTTGACAAACGTTAATACGGAACTAATTACTCTTCTGAAGCAGTACTTCAAATTTACCAGCAGGTGGCTCCCTTTCCCATAAAATTTTGTAATTGCATAACCTAAAGATGGAACCCAACAGCTAATGCGAAGGACTGCTTTATCTGTTCACTAGATATATAACTGAATTAAACTGAAAGAATTCAGCCAATATGTCAACAGAGTTTGCCTTTTAATATGAGATGAACACAACTGATCTTGCAGTTCATGACTAAGTCATGCATGACTGGTTGCAAATCATGTCAAGGTAAAAGTGTGTTAATATTCAAGTGAATAAGTCTGTCTGGAGAAGATGTTATTGTCAGAGCTTCTGCTGGTCAGCAGAAGGTATTTTACCTGTATCTAATGTTTAATATTAAGAGTCCAGGGTCGACGAGCTGTTCTGTCCACGGCAGTTAAGCAATAATTCTTACCTGGAAATAGGCCCAGAAAGAAAAGAGATCCTTGCCATAAACTATAGGATGCAATTGTTTGTTGAAATCTTTATTTGAAAACTCATATTAACATATTTATAACTGTCTGTTTGACATGTATGCCGTCCAAAAAACAGGAAATTGACAGAAAATAAACAAATGCAAGGTGAATGGGAGGAAAGGAGGAGAACCCGATGTGAAGGACAGGCACCTAAGCCAGTGGCCTAGGAGAAATATATGTAATCTGTAAAAAACTGAACACCAGAGGAAAAGATTCAGCTGGGCTCTGAAGAGTGTGTACTGTAATTTCCACTCCAATGTGTGTCTAATTTCAACATTGTTTTCAAAGTCGCTTTGTTTCTGGCTGAGGAACGGGGCAGGTGGGGGTGAGCGTTCGTCACGGTGGGGAACTGAGCTGAGAAGCAGAAGTGCCTTTGTAAGGCTGCCTGTGGGCCTCTTCACTCTTCAGGGACAGCATGGAATGACCTGAACTGACTGTCCCCCTCATTTCATGCCAAAAGTAACATGACTTTCTAGACGTCCTGATGACAGCTGTACTCCTGTACATCCTACGGGGCCACATTCCTCCTGTGTTCAGCATCTTCTTGTTTTATTACAGGAAATATTAGTTATATCGTAAAGAGAATCAACAGTATATACACAGTTCCATTGATCCATTACAAAGATTTGATTATTATTAATAAACATTCCTCATTCCTTTTAATTTTTGCCTCATTAAAAGTTGTAAGCATTATAAATGTACATTGTAACACTGGACAATGGCAAACATGCTTTTGTGCCTCCAAACACAAAACGTATATTAGTTGTTTTATGGTATCTAGTGCCATGAAAAGACACACCATTGCAAGCCATTATACAGCAAACAGCCCGTTTATGGTTCTGAAAAAGGCAGCCAGAAACCTAAAAACAGATCAATTATTATCATGCAGGGTCATTTGCTGTTTCTTTTCTTTTTTTCCTAATTTGCAAAGGAGCATGTGTCAAGGTCTAAATCCCTAAGGTAAGCCTGGACTCACGGGGGGGGATTCGTAATCATTGTACAAATCTTTTTTGTAAAGGCTGCATGTTCAGAGTGAAAGAGAGATAGAGAGTGCAATATCATACCATTGGTCATTCTCTGTGCTGTAAAATACAGTCTCTCATCACAGGAGAGTCAGAAATCCCTCCAAACAGGATCCTTCTATCAAAAATGCCATTTTTCGCCAGCGGTCCTGTCCTTGCTGTCAGCGTCAACATTACCGTAAGCTCACAACACAAAACAAAAGGATTTAACTGAGACATACATTCACACCTGCACCATACCATGTCCACCACAATCACTATAACCACCACTAACACGCTACACGCTGCAAAGTGCAGGGCTCCATGTGACCCTCTTCACCCCCCCCCACCTCCACCCTAACCCTGTTCATTCCAAACACCAAAGCCAAATTTAATTGTTACAAAGTTCAAAAACACAGCAGTCACCGCAGAAACCCCACATCAGAGGGTCACATTCAATACTCTGGACCGCACTTCAGACAACGATGCTAAAACTCAAGTCAGACGAATGAGATGAAAAAACAGACGACACAAAGGAAAGGGGGGGGGCAGTGCTCAACCCGATTAACCCTGAAGCTAATGCTTTCTGAAAAAAAAACAGCCTTTAGAAAACACAGAACATGTAGTCTATCCCAAAGATCAAAGAATATTTGGAGCTTGTATTCTCAACAACAGAAACTGATTGATCTGAAACCACTTTGAATGTTTTGATTACAACTTTGCTTTTCTTACTCTGCTGGCCGTAAGGTGTCCTCAGTTCCATCTGTGAACCTTTTAAAAGTTTTAAACTATATACCTTCCGCCCAATAAAATCAAGTGAAAGTGAGGGGGCAGGTGAAGATCTAGAAGCCCTTAAAGAACCAACATGCATGAGGGCGGCGACCTGCAGTGAGATCAGTCCTGCTGACATCATTAATAACCACATCAATAAAGATTTCTTGTTTTTGTTTCATTCACAAAATATCTGCTGCCCTACTTTGCAAATCTGGCTTCTTAGATTATGCTGTTGCTGAATTACTTACGAAGCTTACAGTTTTACCCATGTACACAGCTTGAATATTTGAAATATCTTATTAAATCACCCTAGCAGTTACAGAGGGAGCAGGGTGCCCTTCCTTGACTAGACCCTGAAGCCTTTTGGTCACAAGCCCAGCTCCTTGTTTGCAGTACCTAGTGCATGAAAAGTACAACTTGATGGTAAGAATTATAATATTTTAAGAATATAATTCTCTTTGGAGCAATAGTGCTGTGAAAATGAATAAGCTGATTGGTAAAATAATGCCATCCACTGCTGAACCTTTTACAATCAACAGGGGTTACGTTAACAAAGACCTGCAGGGGGTTAGCAAAAAAACATCATAGTTTTTCACATATGAAAAATGATACCAGGTCTGACAACGTGTGACAACTAGAGTGACAGCAAGAGTTAAATTGTGACAGAGCAAAGAGGGCATGATTTGGGCAGCTAGAAGCAGGTGAAATAAACCCTGGAAAGCTAAACGAGGATGTCAAGTGAAATCATACATTCCTTCTATCCACTTGGGAGTAAAAAGTCTGTGATCTCCACCTCGTTGATGGCTTCCTGAAAACCATTGGGAAACAAACACAACAGATGAATCACAATCCACAATTCCAACAAAAAGTGTTTGCCCTTTTTCCAAATGTCAGGTGGGTCCAATGAATATTTTGAGGAAAGCTGGGAGCTGCAGGGGCTCCTCTCAGAAGGAAGGAAGGGGGGTTGATGGTCCAATGTTGCGCCAATGTTGCGCTCAGTGTTAATGCATCTCCGAGTTGACTTTGTCCTGGAAGATGTACAGATTGTTTGTGGCGGCAATAGCGATGATGTTCTCAGCCGGGTGCCAAGCCGTGTGTAGAATCTTCTTTGTGAAGTCCAGGCTGTCCACGCTGATGTCATCCTTACGCCGCTTACCGCCAGCGCACACCCGCCGCGGCTTCAACACCGCGCGCGGCTTGCTGCTCTCCCGGGACGCCTCAAGGGTGACATCCCGCTTGGTGTTCCGGTCGAACATCCGGAAGAAGTTGTTGTATGCTCCAGTCATGATCACACTGTGGGCACCAGCAGGAAAAGGGGGTAGGAGTCAACTTCGAGTATGGTAACATGGCAACATGGCAAGCGGAGCGGTTTGGGTCATCTCGACTATTCTCAATTCTGTATGGCAAAGGTGCAAAACATTACGGGCACATGTGACCAACCACGTGGTGGAAGTTTGACAATGACAATGCCCGGCGCCCTCAACAAACCAGTGGGATTGCAGGGAGACCCAGGCACAAGAAGTCTCAGTGAATCCCTGTATCAGTGAAGGACGGCAACAGAGATAAATCCCACCTATTTATGGACTGTACACGTTTTTATCAAGGTTTACCTTCCATGGTAAATATTTCTTAAATTTTCTGTTCATCAACAGCGTAGTCCACTGACAGCCAAGCTGAATGGATAGTGTACCTTTGCATCTAAACCAGGGGTGGCCAATCTTATCCGCAAAGGGCCGGTGTGTATGCAGGTTTTCGGGGCAACTCCCTAATTAGATTACTAATTAGAGGACGGATTGGCTGAAGAGTCCTCACGCCTGGGTTTGAACAGCTGATCTACAGGTTT